TTGGAGCAGTTTCAGTCGTGCAGATTATAACTGAACTATGCCCTGCTTTGCTCTAGTTGTATGCTCTTACTGCTGAATTGATTGCTGGATTGTTCAAACTGAAGTCGTCCAGTCGGCTTGCTACAATGCATATTATTGTACTTCAGAAGTTCTGTGGAATTTGGGCCTGAGCACTTCGGAATTTGGCTGTAGTTTGAGATTAATCTTTGGGAGATGTTTTTTTTTTTGCGGGAAAATCTTTGGGAGATGTTATAGTGGGTTCAGGGATTGATCTGCCCGAGGATCTTCTAATTCCACATTTCACTACTAGTACATTAGTTATCATGAACCTACATGCTCCCTTCTAGGCAAAGTAAAGACTAAAGAGGTTCCTTAACTTTACAGTCAAGTTAGGACAGCAGTTTGATATTCCTTTTGCTAGCACATGTCCTTTATCTCTTAGCCTATACTGTAATTATGACGTGTGGGCTCTTGGAAAAGCGGTCTGTCCGTGTTCCTCTAGATATTTGTATTAAGTGCTCCACATTTGTCTTTGGAGATGGACTGTGATCCATAACCAGCTTTAGGACAACGTGGGTTTCTGTTAACTTGATCGGGACTAGTTATAAACTAGTCAGTGCATCTTAATTGATTATTGTGTAGCACTGTTTTGTAATTCATTTATTTATGCAATACCGCAATAACAAGTACTGTTGTTTGCAGACCTCTTCCACCAGTGCCTAATCTAGAGGTCTCAGATGTGGTCGTTGAGAAAGCTGTAGGTCGGGCTCTTGTATGGATAAACAAGGTGTTGGCTGTTGCCCATGACATTGCCATCAAGAGAGACCGGACAGTTTTTATACAGGTATCTCTCTTGCGTACCCATCACTTGTTCGTGCGTGCACGTTTCGGATACTTGCACACACACAAACTTCTCTCTGTACTGTACCTCATGTACGATCTCCTTTTGTCTCATCGTCTGCTCGGTGCAAAAGGTTATAATGGCTCTATGGGTGGTTTCATGTATTGGGATGCTCTTCAACTTCTTTACGCTCATTTACATTGGTGAGTTATAGTGAATTTTCATATTTTTTGTCCTCTTGGATTTCTGCAGCATTTGGATTACTTTTTTTACACCAAGTTTACACCATTTGGGCTTTCTTTCAGGTGTACTATTCGCTCTGTTGGTTCCCCCGGTATATGAGAGGCACCAGGATGTTATTGATGAAAAGGTTGGTTTATCACACAGCATACTGTCAAGGCACTTGAATACCGTCGTTAGCAAGACAGGGCAACCACCTAAACAAAAGAAGGCTGAGTAGAAGAAATATTTTGGCCCATTTGGTGAGTTCTTAAAGCAACTATTTTTTCCACATCTATATGGTATATTATAAATCCAGTGATCCAAACAAGCTAATAGCTTATGTGTTGTATGGAGTACATCCTTAGCATATTTCTGGGCGTAGTTAACATTGTCTGTGGAATTTGTTCAATGCCTCTTGGATCTCAAGTTTTGGCAGTCGCTAAAAATCCCTGGAAGATGCTATCAAAGGGCCATTATATTGCTTCAAAAGTGTCTTTTATGTTGTATTGACAGAAGGCATGAGACGTGAGGTGAGTAGAGTTTAGTAGGGCCTAGCAGGCAATATAATTGTTAGAAGCTATACCACGATAACTCCTTTTTGAACATATTCTGGGATCATAATGTTGTTTCCTTTTTTTGAGAGGGACTCTGTGACATGATTAAGTCTAAGAAGAGCTCCAATCAGTCTGTTTTAGAATTTAATAGAACTGTCTATGTTGGCTTTAAATATGCCAAGACTTATATTTGTATCACTTTCAGTTTATCAGCATCATGATTAAGTCGAAAGAAGTTGTTATCTGTCTGTTTTAAAATTACAGAACTGCCTATGTTGGCTTCAATATGCAAAGAATCATATTTCTATCACTTTCAGTTTATCAACATCAATGAGTCTACCTTAAAAAAAAAGGAAAAACATCATGAGTCGGGCTCACCACTAGCCGCATTTTATGGGCATATTTATTAACTATTGTAGCCTATGCTGCTCACATAGTTTTATGGTATATTATGATTCTCCTACTACTGTAGCTTGTTTTTCTGTTTACATATCGTTAGAGGAACAAATTCAAATGAATTGCCGCTACCCGTTGCTCTACACAAAATGCAAGTCGGACAGAGACTAGGCTCTTCAATCCTTAACAATCGTGTCATTCTTTGAAGTTTCTACTTGATTTTTAATCTCATGGAGTATATAAGTACATTGCGTTATTTTGAATTCTGGCATCTCACAAGTCTAATGTTTTCAAGTCATTGAGTTTCTTTTGGGCTTTCTTTCTAGAAAGAAAGAACAAAGAAAGAAAGAACAATCCCATGGAGCACAATATATTGTCTGCTGGATAAAAGAATACTGAAATAGGGTAGCATTATGTCGTTTTTTTGTGGTTATGGAAGCTCATAGTTTATGCTAGGTACCTGGAAACCTACTTGCAGGCTATTTTAATAAGCCGATGAAATAATATTTTCAGAAAATGATACCTAATAGCAGTGTATGTTGTTCACACATTAATCCCGAGGACTCACCGGCACAAGGGAATGTTTCTGAGGTTATTACTTTTGAAATGGCTAGTGTTCGTCTGTCCGTTTTTGTTTACAAATGTTATCAAATATCATCACCATTTTCCTGGTGATGGCTGTGTTTCTTAACCTTGGCTCTTTTCTGGCTTATCAGGAAGCTCTCCAGTTGTCCAGTGCAGTTGGGTTCGTCCTCAGAGTCTGTATACCGCGATCCATCCACCGTGAGAGTACTTCTGGATATCCAGGGCATAATGTTTAACTGCTGATACGTGGGTTTAGATGCACGCTCTTCAATCTGGGAAGTGGAATGATTTGTATATTGTTTCCTTGAACATGAAACTTGTCGAGGTTTACCATGGGCACATCTTGTGGAAAATGCCGTATACCTTTGATCGCAACATCCTTCTCTATGACTACGTGTGATGTCGTGTCTTGCATATACAAATGCGGTGCCTGCTCGTGTCTGTCTTTGGTTCTGTATGTCTATTCTGCAGTATCATGTCGCAGCATGACTCCTAAGGTGGTTGCACTGAAATGGTACCACGCGTAGCTGGGGAGTTGTATGCTGTATATATAAAACCTTTTGTGCACTTGCAATGCGTGCTCCGCGTGTTTGAACTTTGAGACCGCTTCTTCAACAACCACTCATGCATCACTAGGTTATTTCAAAGTTCTGGCTCAAAGGTCCTCAATTGACGGGCATTTTTACCTTCCGTTCATACAGGCTTTAATCACCACTCGCTCAACTGAAAGGCTCCTCAATTTGTGGTCTTTGCTTTTTACTCTTTGCACAAACAAGAACACTTTTCAGTTGATTATTTGCAGGGCTTTCTTTTGGGAGGGCCTATGTATCAGTTAACTGATTTCTTTTTGTGTCATTTGAATTTTTGTCCTGTTTGATTTTTGCCGTGACTGCGCCACACTGATCATCTTCAACCTCTTTCTTCTTCTTACGGCGCAACCCCATCCTCCTACCTACCTCCACCCCCAGCAGCCGGTGGGCGCCTTGCTGCCCTGCCCTTCCCCCGCTGTCGTCGCTGCTTGATGTTGCCTTGATATCTTCCGTTCCGTGGGGTACTAGCTCGGCTTCGCTGGGGTCTGCGCTCCTCGCATCGCCCCTCCCTTCGGCCTTTGTCCGGCTGACACCATTTTTTTTTGCCAAGCACTTGACATTTAGCAAAACCGCCATTTTAGAGGTTCTTTGCAGGTCTTTTTGATCATTACTTGGTAGGGTGTAAGCACGCGAAGCAATTAAATTGCGTGGAGTGTCAGATACGGGGCTCGCACATAGGCAGAGGGGACCTCAACTGGCAATTCGAATTGTACGAGCCGTAGCAAAAAAAAAACCTTGCTGCCACTCGTGCGAGTGTCCCTTATAAAAGAGAAAAAAAAATTAGTTTCCCTTTCATTAAAAAAAACCCACATAACCGATGATGGGGGCAGTTTGGATATCATCAGGGGTTTATTTGTGTAGCTAAAGTTTTTGAGTGTGCTTTCCTTTGTTTCTTTCTTGGCGATGCATCTTTTGATTTTTTTAGAGTACCTCCCCACACTGTGATGATGCCCAACAATCATCCATATCCCACATGGTGGTTTGTGAAGAGTGCCTTTGTCCGTGGCTCCAATCATGTCGACAAGAGCAAGGCAGTGAGAACAGGTGAACACAAGCATCATCATGTACCTGCCCTTGTGCTGCTCTTGTGCTTAGACTGATTGGGAGAAGCCGACCTGATCAAATCTTTCTGCCGTCATTGCCTTCCCCACTGACCAAGAGACTCGATCGCCAGGGCTATCGAAACAATTTGACTAAAGGTAGGCTAGACCCGAGACTTAACCAAGTCTCAGTCAAGTGACCAAAGATATAAAAAAAGAAAAAAGTTCAAGAAAATTTTGCACAAATCTTCACGTAAGATCTCACGAAATATAGTATCAGTGGGAGATTTAGCAATCCCGTTTGACTGAATTGACACAAGCATATAGGCAATACTAGTAACTAGACCAGTAGCTTAGCCATTGCGCAAATTTGAAGAAGGGTTTACATGGGGTCTACCCCGGCCGGGGATCGCGCGGGACTTGAATCATCACGATGGCGATTGCACGAGGATTGGATGCGAGATTCGTGAGACCACCGCCAATGGACGGAGATCTCCTGCGAGGCCTGCACTGCACTGCACTTCACGCTGCCGGAGTAGTACGTACTTGTAGTTCGATCTTCTCCCACCGTCGACGAGGACCAGTTAACCGCCAACCCCACTACCATCCCCCACTTAAGCTTCCGTTGTTCCCACCCCTTTTCCTTTCGTCTCGCCAAAGCATTTCATATTCGCTTGTCCTCCACTTGTGTGTGCCTGTCCATGGCGACCGGAGAAGGACCCGTCTCTCCCTTCTTATACCACGGCCGACATGCCATCCTCCGAGATCATGCATGCTGTGGCCAACTGATCGGCGACGTGCAACGATGGCGGTTCCGGTGGCATCTCCGTCTACGGCTACAGCCCGTGCCCTCGTCTTTGCACTTGCGGTTGTGCTCGCCGTGGTGACTGCCGACGGCGACTCCGGCCATGCAAGCTTCAGCGGGGCGGCGAACGGCGGCAATGCGCCGTCGTTGAGGGCCGGCGAGGAGGGCAGGGAGTTAGCTGTTGGCGATCATGTGCCGGCGTCGAGGGTGTCGGTGGTAGGTTGCGTGTGCGTGCCGTCGACGGTGTCACTGGAAGGCTGCGCGTGCCCGCCAACACCGCCACCGCCACCTCCCGCATGCCCGCCACCGCCTCCACCTCCACCACCGGCGTGCCCGCCGCCGCCTCCACCGCCACCTCCAGCGTGCCCTCCACCGCCACCACCACCGCCACCGCCGGCCTGTCCGCCCACGCCACCGCCGGAGCCGACGCCGTGGGATTTCGAAAACGAGAAGTTGAAGCGGCTGTACCCGGTGATCCAGGCGTTCAAGCGGACCATCACGAGCGACCCGCTGAACGTGACGGCGACGTGGGTGGGCACCAACATCTGCGACAGCTCCAAGGGCGGCGGCGCGTACAAGGGCTTCTACTGCGACACGCCGCCGGACGACGCCAACAAGACGCTCACCGTCGCCTCCATCGACTTCAACGGCTTCCACCTCTGCGCGCCCACGCTGGCCGGCTTCATCGACGCCTTCCCGGACCTGGCCCTCTTCCACGCCAACTCCAACAGCTTCTCCGGCGCCCTCCCGGACCTCACCTCCCTGCGCTACTTCTACGAGCTCGACCTCTCCAACAACGCCTTCTCCGGCGCCTTCCCGGCCGCCGTGCCGCCGCTCGGCCGCCTCGCCTTCCTCGACCTCCGCTTCAACGGCTTCGCCGGCGAGGTGCCGCCCTCCGTCTTCGGCATCTCCGTCGAGGCGCTCTTCCTCAACAACAACGCCTTCACCGGCGTCATCCCGGAGAGCACCTTCGGCACAAGCAGGGCCCAGTACATCGTCGTCGCCAACAACCGCTTCACCGGCCCCATCCCGCGCACCATCTTCAACGCCTCCGGCACGCTCTCCGAGATCCTCTTCCTCAACAACGACCTCTCCGGCTGCCTCCCCTACGAGATCGGGCTGGTGGAAGGGCTCACCGTGTTCGACGCCGGCGGCAACGAGATCCGCGGCCCCATCCCGCTCTCCTTCGGCTGCCTCGCCGACGTCGAGGAGCTCAACTTCGCCCGGAACCAGCTCTACGGCCACGTCCCCGACGTGCTCTGCCTCCTCGCCAAGACGGGGAAGCTCACCAACCTCTCGCTCTCCGACAACTACTTCCACTCCGTGGGCTACCACTGCATGGAGCTGGTGAGGAGCCGCGTGCTGGACGTCCGGCGGAACTGCATCCTCGGCTTCCCCGGCCAGCGGCCGCACATCGAGTGCGCCATGTTCTACGCAGACCCCACCAAGCACTGCCCCTTCATCCCGCACATACCCTGCGACCTCCCGGGGTTCAAGCCGAAGACGACGGCCGCCGCCGCGTTGCCGGCGCCGGGGGAGACCGCGGTGCATGGCTACGGCGGGGACGGGAGCGTGGCGGTGGGAACTGCTGACGTGGGGATAGGTGGTTAATTAGGTGAGAGTGAACAGCAAAAGGTGACAGATATGAATCGTTCGGTCGTCATTTGAATTTTTTAACTGTTACAGAAATGTCGATCTGATCGCATGAAGCATGATCGTGTTGTGTTACCGGCAAATAAATTCAACTTACCGTAACTTGTAAGATGTTGTATGGTTCGAAGTCAATTAACTACGTACTCTGTCCCAAATGTAAAAGCGTTAAGGAGGATCTAGTCCGGACGGTGTTTATACCAATCGATGCAGCAGCTATACTGCAAATACCCCTTTGCACACGACAGACTGATGATTTTTGGGCTTGGTCCGAGGAAAGGAAGGGCACGTTCACCGTGCGATCAGCATACCGGATGATCCAACAAACGAAGCTTAGCCGCGAGGCATGGCTGTATGAAGATGGGTCGTCTTCTGACTCTACTAGAGCTGACCAGGGTTGGACCGAACTGTGGCGGATCAAGGTCCCTTCAAAATTGAAATTTTTCTTATGGAGACTCGCCAAGCACTCTATCCCCACAGCAGCGATGCTCCATCACCGAAATATGTCAACCTCCCGAGCTTGCTGCCTTTGTGGGGCTGTTGACACCTGGCGCCATGCCCTTGTGGATTGCTCGGTCTCTTGGAGTACTTGGGTGTTATCTTCAGAGGAGATCCTTAACAAGCTGAGTACATGCACAGAGGAAAACGCAAAAAGATGGTTATTCGTCATGCACGAAGCGCTTAACGAGGATGAGTTCCTTGCTTTCGTCGTCACCCTATGGGCACTATGGGGCGCTCGTAGGAAGGCAATGTACGAGGATATCTTCCAGACACCTCATGCTAGGGGTGGAAACGGATCGGATGCGGATCGGATAGTGCTCTTACCACTTCCGTTTTCATATTTTCAAAACGAATACGAATGCGAATACGGATGTTATTGGATACGGATCCGGCTCGGATGTTATTCGAATACGGATACGTATCGGATATTTTCTTGATTCGGAACGGATACGAATAATAGCGACATATTGCTTAAGTATACTAGTCAATAGCTATGTGACATGAAATAATCAACTTGTGACATACAATAAGTCAATGATAAATAGATTTATGAATAAATCCTATTGTAATGTATAATAATTTCTAAGTTTAATCATACGAAGAGTAATTTTTGACCACTTATTTGGCTTTTATGTTGGATAATTGGAATGTTTGGGCTAGAATTTTGAAAATTACCTCCCATAATCTTATTCGGATACGGATATATCCACTTCCATATCCATATTTGTGTCAAAAGCTCATACCATATTTTATTTTTTATTTGTTAAATGAATTCGGATACGGATAGTTTCCATTTCCATTTTGGTTCGGATGCGGATGTTTCGGATACGAATAGGCATTTTCTCGAATACGAAAATTGGATATTTCGGATTATCCACGACCACTTTCCACCCCTACCTCATGCCATAAATGGGTTTGTAAACTCCTACATATCTGAACTCAAGGCCATCCAGACTCCGAGGGTCGCTGAGGTTAGAGTTCCACAAGCTCGAGTTAATAGCTGGATTGCACCGCCACAGGGTCTGGTCAAGATCAATGTAGATGCCGCCGTCGGCTGGGCGAGAGGGACAACGGGAGCTATATGTAGAGACCAAGACGGAGCCTTCTTGGGAGCTTCAGCGGTGGTCTTATCTCATCTTTCAGATCCAGGCACTTTGGAGATGCTCGCTATCAGGGAGGCCCTGGCATTGGCAGAGGACATATATGTCAGAAGGATTCATGTTGCTTCGGACTGCAAAGTGGCCGTGGATGACATACATCAGCAATGCAAAGGAAGCTATGGGGCTATTGCACATGAAATCATACAACATAGGGCAGAATTTGAGGCTTGTAATATACTTCATGAATTTAGGAGCTCGAATACCGAGGCTCACAAACTAGCAAAGCACGCTTTATCTCTCGGGGTTGGTCGCCATGTTTGGTTAGGCCAGCCCAACGATCTAGATTTCGTCCCTGTAAACATTGTGACGACGTAATAAAGCTTTGCAGTTTGTCTCAAAAAAAAGGAGAGGCTAGAGGTAGGTCGATTGAAAAAAAATAGGCCCCCTCGATCATTTTCAGCCTTTTTTAGAGAAAAGACGCAGGGCGAGTCTGAGAATAGCTCGAACCTAGCCCGACTTTGAATTAACAAAGCCATCAACCGACCACGATTACGAAGGCACCATGATACAGATGAAATGCAAAGCAAAGCGGAAAGGAAGATACAAGGCACTAGGTAGAACAACACAATGGCAACAGCAGAAACACTGATGTCGACGGCCACCACTACGCCTACACTAACTAGCCAACTAAGAACACGTAAGGAGGTCCATATCAAGCAAGCATCGAGCGCCGGCTGCATCCACAGGCCAAACATGGGCAACACTTGAGCTGTCTCCACCATCACAAAGGGCACACTACCCTTTCACCCAGGCTCGATGAGTGCCGCACCGGCGAACGGCAGAATGGCTACCACAAAGCCCAACACAAGGTGTCCAGCTGCCATAGGAGAAGCAGACGAAGTTGACCAGCGGACCACAGAGGACCAACCAGACGAGCACCAAGCCGGCAGTGGAAGCACGGAGCACGGGACGCGAGCTGTCAAACGAAGGCGCACACCAATGGAGAAGACCGAGAAGGCATCACCAAGCACCGGGCAAAGCCGAGCAAGAAGAAGCAGGAAGACCAGGCCGTCATGCTTCGGAGCCAAGCCACCAGCCGCTCCACCCCCAAGAGTAAATCCCGGTCGCCGCCTTCAAGAAGGGCCACGCCACCGAGGTGTCGTCGACGCCCAGATCAGGGGAGTACCGACTTTCGCCGGAGCTCAGGGGGGAGGCAAATGGGAGAGGACCCACCCCAAAGCTTCCAAGAAGGGCATCGGCGCCAAAGGTGTCGACTTTGGGGGGGGGGCACTGCGCCGGCCACAAGTTTCCCCCGGATCCTCGCCCAAACGCCAGATCCGGCCAACAATCACCAAGAAACGCCAACCGCGGTTGCCGGGGATCGGCGCTGGCACGAAACAGAGTAGATCAGGCAGCACCGAAGCTTCTCCAAGGTGGCCCGGCGACCAGCGAGGCGCCACCACAACACCGACGTCCGCGACCACCACCTGCCCCCGCAGCCGTGGAGGCCGCCTACCAGCACCCGCCGGCGTCACCCGCCGCCCAGGCCACGCCGCACGCCACCGGCCGGGGCCGCCGCCCCGGGAGCCGCCGCCCCGGGAGCCGCAGCCCTCCATCCAGGGAGGAGGCGCCAGATCCCCTGCCACCACCTTCATCAGGGCCGCGCGCGAGCGCCGCGAGCCCCTCTGGCAGCAGTGGATGGAAGGAAGAGAGGCGAGGGAGCGCGAGCGGCGGCACTAGGG